TGTTCTGGCTTTCAGCTCTTCTATGACACGGACACGGAACTTTCGCTTGCTCGACCAAAGAGAGTTGCAGAAACTGACCAAGTGAGTTGCAGAACAATACCTTGAACAATTCAACAGTTTCTACCGTTGACGGGAGATATAGACCGACCCAACAATGATTTGGCGCAGGATTTGGTGCACGCCCGAGCCAAGCTGCTTGGTCTCAGTGGTTCGGGCGGCCTTGGCAGGGAACAGCCTTTTCAAACTTTTGAAACAAATTGGTTGACAACCAATAATTAGGGGTTCAATTTATTAATAACTATTATATATATATGCATGTGTATCCATATCCCAGTCAATGACCTCGTTAAACTTTTTCATTTGGAATCAGTGATCATTAATACTATTTACACGCAGCTGCCTGCGCTGTAAATCAAGATTTCTGAGAGGAGCACCCGCAGTGAATTGCAGGAACTTCCCAACTTCTGCCCGCAAGACTTCTGAAGAGAAACTGACCCGTAACTTCAAACCTAACTTAGTGTTTTGTCACCAAAAAAGCAGATAGTACTGATACACTGATACTAGTACTGATACTACAGAATCAAACCGATTTCAGATTCAGAGTTCTTCCTAACGCTTCCTGTCTGGGTGTCCAATGGTGATCTATAAATACCTTTTCTCAGCCGTGTAGGGTTGTCCAATCGTATCAGATATCTATATCAATATATATCTGTTTTCTAATCAAATCTGTATATCAAGTATATCTGAGTATATCAAGTATATGTGTATATCTGGTATCAGATATCGATATCTAATCATTTGTTTTCTAATCAAGTCTTGAGTCCCTCACATCGCCCCAGGTCGACCTCCTGAGCGAGCAGTCCGACGCCGGTGTGGACCGGGAGGAGACGCGAACCTTGGTGCTTGGAGGTGTCTTTAGCAGCGAAGCATCGAAGCCCTTGAGTTGCAAAATGTTGCAAAGTAAGAAACAGTACATGTTTTTCTTTCTTTTTTTAATCAAGGGATGAGTTGACCTTCCGATTTTTCCCACCCTGGAGTTGATTTTTCCGACCTGAAGGCATCATTCCTTAAGGATCTTAAGGCATGCTTTATCCCATCCGACCTGAAGTTAAAAAGGACGCCTTCCGATTTTTTAACATGCTGTTTAAAGGCATCCTTTGTGTTTGTGCTGGGAAGCAAAAGAAGTGTTAGCATTTTTTTTCTGTGTGGTCCGGGCCAGGTGAAGAAAGATGACGAGAACTAACACAGCCCGGTTTGTTTGGGAGGCGCTGACCCCTATCAAGAATTCGTACATGCCAGTGGACAACTAAACCCCAGTAGTTGGGCCAATCGAGTGAGGATCTCCGTTGTCGATGGAGACCAAGTGATATTAAGTGATGTGAGATTTACACCCAGGAAGATGAACAGAGGCCCCCAATCCCCAGGTCCCCTCCTTCATCAGCTTCCTCCCCACGAACAGTCGAGGAGATGTTCGTCTCAGACATGAAGGTCACCGGCCAGTTGAACGGTTGATCGTGTGTCGCATGGGAAGGGGAGTCAGGTCAAGGTTTCGCGGCAACAAGAAGGGCCTGGACCCCGAAAACAGATGAACTCCGTCTCCGTTGCGTTCCATTGCCATGTTCTTTTGGAACGACTACACCCTGGAAGACTAACATGGAACCTGAAAGCCCCTGGTTGGTGGAGGAAAATAGTCTTCCATGGGTCTATGTTAGTTTTCGGGAGTGTATTTCAATCCAAAACACCACCCCTTATCACCGCGCAGCCAGCGACGCGCTCTCGCACTCTCGCATCGCATCGCGCGGATCATCTCTTGGCAGGTGGGGCAACGATTTCAAGTGGAGACCGACTTGAAGGGGTGGGAGCACGCCACCCTGAGGCGCAGCATGGCGCCGCCGTTTCCGCGCCGTTTCCGGAGTCAATCAATGGAAAGAGTCGACAACTGGAGTGGTCCGTAGCTGCTGGAGGTCAAGAGAAAGAAGGGAGTGGCGCCCGCCCCCTTGCAACTCACTTTTCTTTTGCTGTCCCGGTTCATGTTCACTAGAAGATCATCTGAACAGATCTAATCTAAACTATGAGAGCCGCGTTTTTTCAGGGCGCGTGTGTGCGTGCGAATCATAGTCTGACGTCTTTGATAGAGGATGGAATCACAGTGGAGTGAATGCCACCAGGACCATCCGACCATCTGAGTGTCGCTGGACTACACATGCCTTCTGGGATCTGAGGGATCTCCCAGGGATCTGGCACGGTCGGATGGTCGGATGGTCTTGGATGGTCTTGGCTAGGATTTTTGCTACAGGGTTGGACTGTTTTTCAGGAAATGGAAGTCAGCAAAAGGGAACTTGTTTTCAACATTTTTCAACTATCTTTTTGGGCGGCCAGGGCTGTGCGTCCCCGCTACCTTATCGAGTTTGATGACGGCGAAGAGTTGCAGGTGGGTGAATGAGCTTGGGCCAAGCATGTAAAGCCACACACAAGATGAGGATTGGTCCAGACTCGCATGGCTCAAAATACTAAGCAGCAAAGCCCAGTGCGTTGTGGGGGAGCCACCGGATATGAACCCTTTGCCACAAAACTTTCGTGCCGTTCTGTGTGTAGGCAGGCATACTTGACATACTATATATTTAAAGAAAACCCTCAAGGATCCCAAAGATCCAAAGAATTGGTCTGGGGGGAACAGGTTTGTCTTATTCATGTCCTTTGCCTCCGTCTTGAAACCTCAGGATACCTCAGGTCTTTTTGATTATGTTGAATTCTTCCGAGTCACTCCATCACAGGTGGACACGCCGCGGCAGATCCGCGCGCGCCCCGCGCGGACGCTGAAGCTGTGGCATCCGCAGCTCCGAGGAGCCGGGTTCGCGGTTCACGGGGCGAGCGAGATGGAGCCACGAGGGTCGGTCCGGGAGCTACGTGGCCCCAAGGGGAATCTGCATCTATCTATACATCTACTGTACATCTCCATTTGTCGTGATGAAGATGGGTTCGTTTTGAATATTGGTTTCTAGATGTTTGATATGGCATTTCTAGTCCAGGGTTGGAGAAATCTAAGGAGAAGTCTAAGAGCACTTGCAAGGTTGCCAGGTCATCTCACAGGTTGCCAGGTCATCCAGGTTTCCAACCCAAGAAACATCATTACTAGTTTATGTCTGGGCCTATGACCCACCCACCTGCCTAACCAACTCCAAGCCAGAAACGCTTTCGATCGATGGACAAATAGGATCGGAAGTGAATCAAGCCCCAGCTCCAACATCGTCAGCAGGTGGATTCCAAATGGATCAGCTTCCTAATTTTTCGGGGTTCAGCCGATTTGATGGTTCTGTTGATGTTTCCACGATCCAAGCGGATGTGTCTGCCCTCCGGCCCCCGGCCGCGCGCTCTGTAAGGACCGGCCGCCCTGGCGGAGATCCGCAAGGAAGGAAGCCGTCCCAGGCACCGTCTTGTTTCCCGGGCAGCGGTGCTCCAACCAAGTAGGATTTCGAAGCCGAAGAGTTAGAGAAAACCGGTGAACCCCTCTTTTCACTTCTTTGTAGAGCTGTTGGGTTGTTATACAATTTTTCTTCTGGAGCCATGATGTATGAATTGCGTAATTATATAAGAATCATGAATTACAGTACATAGTACATACCATTATTCCGGAGATAGGCATCACACCGGACTACACTTTTGTGAGTTATTCATACGAACAAATATCTATCAATCCGGTTGAACCCAGCCATCGCTGAAGAGCCACAACTATCCGGCTTTTGGTTCGCCAGCGGGGGATCCAGGGCTGCAACAGCCGAAGAGGACTGAAAAACTGAAACCTGAAACCGGTCCGTTGGAGGATGCCATGGAGAAGCAGTGTTTTAAGCAATTAGATCAGTTGTAGTCGTGTGTTCTTTCGTTCATGGGTTTGTTGTAGTCTTTCTGCTACCTTCCAGTCTCAAGAAATGATGGATCAGTAAATGTAGCAAGGTCGGGCTGTGAGGTGGAAGAAGTCTAAAGCCACCAGTTTTCATAGATGGATCCGATTTCGACTAAAAACACCTTGCCTGTGAAGGGATGATGACAGATCATTGAAGATGCCCAAACCTTGAGCAGGAGGAACCGCTGCAGGAGGAGGAACTTCGGCCTTCAGAGGAACCACCACTCCTACGAGAGGATAAGGAACCGCTGCAGCAGAAAAACATCCAGCAAGAGGAGGAGGAACCGCTGCAGCAGGAGGAACCCCTGCCACAGAATGAGGAACCACAGCAGCAGAAAGAGGAACCACTGCAACAGAAGGAACCTTTGCAACAGGATGAGGAAACACGGCAGCAAAAAGAGGAACAGCCCCTGCAGCAGGAGGAACCTTTGCAACAGAATGAGGAAACACGGCAGAAGAAAGAGGAACCCCTGCAGCAAGAGGAGCTGTTGCATCAGGAAGAGGAACGGCTGCAGCAGAAAGAGGAGAGAGAGGAACCCCTGCATCAGGAAGAGGCTTGAGGGTCGCAGTGGAGCTTCCGCTACAGTTTATTTTTCCATTGGGCAAAGCAGTGCACAGGATTTGGAATGTCCTTTTCACCCCCCCAGAAGAAACATGGAAGCCATGTTCGTTGGCAGACAACTGTGCAACTTTGACACTTTCATATTCCACGGCATGACCTTGGCAGGATATTGTTGAGAAAGGTGTGAATAATATGAATTTGTGCTCTAGCCTAGCTGCTTGATATGGCTTGACACCAATCACTGCAAGGGAAGGGAAGGCTCCCGCATGTTCAGAGGACAGAGACGGAGTAACCGCTCGTAAAGACCCACCACAGATCACCACAGAGGTTTTTACTAATTTTACTTGAATCCCAAAGAGCATCACCCAAGTGTGTGACTCATCCCTAAAGCCTGGAGAACACTGTGGAGCAAGGTCATGCCAGAGGCAAGCGATTCGGGCCAGACACCTCGAGAAGACTTCCATGCTTAGTTGATGTGGGATTGGACATGCACAGCCTTCCAGAGAACTTTCAACACATGTTGTTTTCGTGTGAAACCCACCAAGAGCCGAGAGGGGGAAGACAAATCGAGCCTCCACCGGTGCCAGCTAAACATCTTGAGACGGCACGCACCCCCCATCACCCCCGCCGAAGGGGCCTCCGCCACGGCACGCGCCCTCACCACCGGAGCGACGTAGGAACGGACGGTGGTTTTTCCCGGGCGCTTGGGGCGCGCCCGGAGACCGTGCATTCAGATGTGTGGCATCAGGGCATTTGGTTGATCTCCGGAATTACAAGGGATTGGTACATTGATCTTACAAAGGTTGATCCAATTACCGTAAGATCTTACAATCAATTGGGAGTTATCTCAGGTTACGTAGGATGCTCTTTGCAGGTCTCATCGACTTGAGTGGCCAGTCGATCTGAAGTGCTCCTCATCGGACAAGTCCCACAGCTCCGTTGTCGCCGGTCGTGAGGTCGCAAGTGTCATCAAGCCTGAAGATCAGGCGGCCCAACTTCAACTCAAACCATTTTTAACCATTTTAACCATTTTAACCGGGTTGACAGACTAGCTTTAACCATTTCGCGATTGACTTTAACCATCTTAAACCGGGCTGGAATAGATATACACTTCCGGACCATTGGGGTCATTGGTATGTGGATACATGATGGTACATGTAGCAATTCCATACGACCTGGATGGTCTGGGGAGGAGAACATACATCGAAAAAACCATCGTTTTCACTTCATGCGACCCTACTGAAGTCACAAAACCTTTTTGTTTTTTTGGTGGCATAAAAGTGTTTTAAGGCCCCACAACCCTCTATCTAGAGAAGAGCTGTATATGGTCGGATTCTGGTATAGGTTTTCTGGTAGATCTTTCCCCTTCATGCCGATTCCGGGATCGGGCCCAGTACACTTCCAGTGAATGTTGGAAGATGGACGTCACGGTTTAGGCCATGTTTTGGGGGTCTGACCGTCAACAGCTCATCGGAGCTGGTGGCGTCTCTGCGAATACAGGCTTTTCACGAAAGGTAGCTTGAGCTACCTGAGTTCTCCTTGCTTTAGCAAAAATGTATTACAATCAGGAGTTGGGATTGTGCATTGAGTTTGGTCCTGTAAGAGTTGATTCTGTTCGTCGGGGGGAGGGGGGCCCCCCCCCTGGATCAAATCCCCCCTGCGCCGGTTCACGCCGTCATGGACTTCTACCAGGGTTACTTGTGATTGCCTGCTACCTTTCGTTCACCCCCTCCTCTCTCAAGTATCAAATAGGCGGAACCTGTGGTGCATTGGTGCATCAACAAAATGACTTGTTGCCAGGCTTCAAAGGAAGTTCGTTTAGTTGGAAATAGGCCCAATAGGCAATGTCCTGAGGCAGTTGGTCCACGTGTTGACCACTTCGTGTTGACCACTACGACGTGTCGACCCATTGGTAAGTGCTTTTTGACTCACATCGCCATACGAAAAAGACTCAAACGCCTGTAGACCGATCCGCTTGATGTGATGCAGGATTCCACTCCAGTTGATCGGAAAGAGCCTAGATCCGCCTGATGCTCAGTTTTTCCACCAAAGCAGGATTTCACATCTTGTTGTAGACTTTGCAGTCTGAAGCAGGATTCTGGGAATTCTGGTAGCCAGGAGTTCCGGCTCTATGCACTCTGAGGAAGGCGAGTTACCAAACAAAAAAAAAACCACACATCCCAAGACCATTCCAAGACCATTGTAGGTGGGCTTGCTACATGTGTGTAGTGGTCTTTTCATTTAGCCAATCACTCCCTTGGAGGACCGGGTAGCTGTCAAGTTCAATGTGGCGCCCGAGCGCACTGTACCATGGGATAGGTGACCATGAAGTGCAACAAGCGGGTGGTTACAGTGAAGATATCTCTTCAGGTGAGACATTTGCTATTCTGCATCCACTTTTTTTTGCGTCCTGGAAAAGGAAAGAGCACATCGAGCCGTTGGAACAAGTTTGAGTTGAGTTCTCGCAAACGAGAGGGACAAGTCAACAAGTGAGGTTGAAGTGGTGAGCAAATCTGCAGATGAGGAGGTGAGGTTTGTTGGATGTCTTCTTGGAGGAACTATTGAAGAGTAGAACAGCACAGTGCCGCATTCCTGGTTAACTAGTGTGGCAGGAAGAGACTGGTCAACAGACAAATCCTTTTTGCAGTATTCCTTGATGGTTTCCAGGTGCAAACATCAACGTTGAGAACCACCCCTTGAAAGGAGGCCACCCGCGCTCCTAGGTGGAGGCCACGTTCTTAGGTGGAGGCCATCGCTAATAGAAACAAAGAACAAAATCATCAGAAACTAACTTTTGCTGTGTCAAACACATTCTCTCGCTCCTTGGAGCGAGGACACCGGCGCCAACGCCACCAACGAGACCGAGGCGGGTGGGAACCCCGGCGGGGTTGGAGGGGTTGCGGCCGGATGTCCTGGCGGAACCGGCGCCAATGGAGCTGCGGTGGACAAATCGCTGGGTGTTGAATCAATTGCGTCGGTCTTTTTCCATGTGTCCCGTTTTCTCACATGTTGGATACAGCTATAGGGATTGCTATAGCTGCTGGGCTATAAGACCTGTTCAGCAAGCTTCGTGAACGGAATGAGAGGAGCAGGCTCTAATCACTGGCCAAACTCCGGTGGAATCCTCAGTCTTTGCTCATTGGATGTAACAATGAAGGCTTGATCTAGGATGGCTTCCCACATCGCGCATTGCGAATCAATACGGCGTGTGATGTATACGGGACTCAGACGTCCGAAACGACCAGTTGAAGCAGCCAGAAACGACCAAAATCCACATGGTTTCGTGGAGTGAAACGACCAAACTCCCCCTGTTTAACTGGTCTTCGGATTTCACTCCATGCTTCGTCACCGAGTCTTCGTAACCGGGGCCGTGCGGATGCAGTTGAACCGGGTGAGTTCCCCCTCTAAAAGAGTAGCTTGACAACGCCTCGCGTCAGATGAAGAATCGCGAGTGGAAGGGTCCTTTCTGCTCAAACTGGGACTTCTGGATGACCACGAAAAGGTTGGTGGCCCGGTGGCCCTTCAGCCGCCAGGCTGTGGCTGTGAGTGCAATCAAAGACGAGAAGGCCGGTGTGGGTGGGGTGTGGGGGGGGGAGCATGGACCGCTAAGCTGAAGCTGCCGTGGAGCGCACTGGATATAGAGATTCGTCACGAATGAGAATATGGCGGAGTTCGGGAAGGTTCTCTTTCGGGTTGTGCGCTCCTCCAATCGGGTCGGCCCGCCTCGCCTCGGGCAGAATTAAGCCGAAGCCTTCCTTGAGCCCTCCAGAGAGCCTTCCTTTCGGTGGTAGGTCCAAGTCGCAACTGCTCGGTGGGAGGTCCAAGCGCAGAGTTCGTTTTCGTTGACGTAGTAGGTGATCCCTTTCAAGTCTCCCACACAGGAGAAGACACTCAGATCCAGTCTTGTTAAACTGAATCAAGATGTTCCGGAACGAATTGCGAGGGGCTAGGGATGAATACAAATTCGCAGCACAACTGCTGTGGATGGCGTGTTTGAATTCCCGCGAGCTCTCGAGCATCCTACTTACAACTTGTTGGGCCAACGGGGGGTGGGTTAGCCCCGCCGGCAACATAAATCCGATCCGTTGACTGGTCTTTCGGGGTTGGGGGGGTGGGGGAGGTGGGGTCAGTTTCGTCCGTGTTACTACTCGCGTACATCGACTTTGACGTTGATTTGTCGACTCGGTGATCTTTCGTTCGCTGGGTGACCATTCGTTCGCTGGACTACTCGCTTTTCTTGGCTTAGAGGACATGACGGGCTCGACGTTCGAGGTTTGTTTTAACACTGCCTAGGGCCTAGAATGGGTCTTCTTGGCCGTTGCGATGCAAAGCTGCAACGACAGCACGTTGAAGGCCTCGCAGCGTTGTGGTTCCGCCAACATCCAGGGTTGGACTCAATGCTCGAGGCTGTCAGAATACATAGAGAAGCTGTGCAAGACACTTGTCCGCCAGCTCAAATGTACAGTGAGCTCAATTGGGAACAAGACTGATGTCTGGCGGCTGGAAAATGAGCCAGCTGTACATGGAGGAGGCGGGTGGGTTGGGTCCGTCAAAACACATTCAACTTATCGTCTTGCAACTCATGAGTTGCAAGACGATAAGTTAGTTGAGTGTCCGTAAAGCCCCGAGTTCGGGGCTAACCCCCCCGCTTACCCAACTTGTTGCTTTCGCCGACCCCAACGTGGCTGCGCTTCGCTGCTGGATGTTCCGAAAACGGACGGTCCGTTTGATGGCCAAGGCAAGCAAAGTTGCAGAGGCCCCGGCTGTTTTGGTTGCGGGCTGTTTTGGGGCGCAACACCTGAAGCGGCGTCACACCGGGCATGAGTCGTGACCCACCTCCAACCCGACCAGTCGTCGGTAGGTCAACCGGTCGGTACAGTATCCAGGTCTTGACACAGGGGCCACATGGATCTGAGACTCAGACTTTTAGGCTATGATATGCTATGATCACCGAGACTGAGTTGTGGAAGAGACTCAGCCTCTCTCTCTATCGCTTCTGATCGCTCATGATCGCTCCAGGATGCAGCTTTAGCCACCGGTCAAGCTCCACCGCCGGTGCCACCACCGGTGCCACCGGACACGGTGCCGTCCCCAGCCGTTGAACATCGAATCGGTGCGTGGCAAGACATTGGTTTCTTGACGTCCTGTTGAAAGAAACATGCTTGTTGGGCCTCCCCCCCAATAGCAATGGCCTCCCACCTAATAGCTGTATGGACTTACTGTAGTTTTTGGGCTCCTTTGGACGCAGGAAGTGGTTGAAGCGATTGGGTACCTCAGCATATCTCAGCATGGTGCCATGATGTGCAATTACCGCCATGAGACGGCTTGGTTGCAGGGCACCCTTACGATGGCTGCTTCTGGTCAAGCTTCAGAAGAAGCGTCGACCTCAGACACCTCAGACAGCCGGTTGTTCTACCGTTGATCATGGAGTGGGTGGATCAGGGACAGGGTGAGGAAAGACGGGAAAGGATCGGTGGTGCATCAACATCACTTGTTGCCAGTTCTGCGAGTACCTCGACATAGAGAAATGGTCCTGAAGCAGAGAAGATCGTGTGTGTGTGAGTATTTTTCGGCTTTAGTTTGTTTGCATTCCAAGTCGTTAACTCGACGTGCCAAAGAATCGGATTCGAATGCTCCGCGGAGACGGCCTCGGAGAATCGACCGTGGCGCAGGCAGAGGACGCGTTGGCCGCCAACCTGTCGAAGCTGACCCAGAAGGTGTGGGTTTTCCGGCCATGCAGCCGGCGCGGGTGGTGCATTTTTGGTTTTCCTTATTTTGGTCGCCAAACAAAGAGGATTGAGAAAAACAAGAGGGGCAGGTATAAGAGGAGTGAAGATCTGGATAGGATCGAAGATCCCAATATAACTATTTTCCTCAGTTCGGAGGTGTTTAAAGAAGAATAGTGTGACAATGACGTGACAGACAAAATGAGACTTTTTTGCCACGCATCATATAGCATTACAAGTCGTGGTATGAATCATATATATATATATATATCATGTCTACGATGCATAAACCAAAGGGCACTTTTGGGAAATCCCTCAAATTACGGCAGAAAGGGGGCCTCCCAAATAACTAGAAACAAAACACTAAACATCATGAATGATACCATGTCCAAACATGTCCAAAGAGTATCAAAGAGTGCTTCCTCCTTTCTACAAAAATATATACATATCTATATAAAAATATATATATATATATTATATACACCAATTCCACCCTGTTTGTATGTACAGCCCATATATACTCCGCTATAGGTACTGCAGACACGTGACTCTTGACGTATTTTGGCTCAAGGGAAAAAGGCGTTCCGTAACGTCGAAACCTCGTTTTCATGGTAGCGCACGAGTCCGGTGAAAGTGACAGGGACAAAGCGCTGCGCATAAAGGAAGAAAGACATAGCAAAGTCGAGAGCTCCGAGGAGGAGGAGCTGGGAATCTCGGGAGCGGCAGCTTCTGCCGCCCCGAGTGGAAAAGAAGAAGGAGGAAAAGGAAAAGAGGAGGAGACAGAGCCTTTGCCAGCCACATCAGCGGCGGAACCAGCCGCAAACACCACTCCGGCGGTTGTAGAAACTGCCGAAACAACATCAGCGGTCGAAGGAACCGCGGAAACAAAAGAAGAAGAAGAAAAGACTACAAAAGAGAAAGAAGGAGGAGAAGAAGAAAAGCCTGAGCAAGACCCCATAGTAGAGCCAGAGGCTGAAGCGACTGATCCAGTCGCGCAGCCATCCTCATCTGGCCGAGTGATCGCCGACTTCCAAACCTCCCCAGAAGGTGTCAAAACAGGTTGGGAGGTTCGTGGCATTCACGCCAAATATACCCCAGCCAAAGTTGATCCCAAAGCACCTTGGAGGGTAAAGAAGAACATTTGGGGACAGGTCAAGAAGCATCCAGAGCCACAATCCGGATTTCGACTTCGAAGCAAGACTTCGCTTCAGTACCGGAGGCTCAAGGACCTGGTCAGGCTGGAGAAGAAGAAGGGTGTCATCACAGAGGATCTGAGGAGGCGCATCAAAGAGTTCGGAAAGGGGCGCACTCCACAAGAGATCAAAGAAGAGCGGGAAGAGCAGAAGGTCCGCAATCAAGAGAAGCGGACCAAGAAAAGGAAGACCTCAGAAGCGGCTGATCCAGCCGAGGAGGAGGAGGTCGAAGAAGAAGAAGAGTCGGTGAGCCATCCAAGTCCGGTCCGACAGCCTCGAACACCGGACGGGCCACCGCCGGCTAAGCGACCGCAAACCCGCGACACCCAGCGGGGACGGGCGGTCTGGGGGCGTGCACTGGAGTTGAACCTCCGCATCGTCGCCCTAGCCAACGAACGGGCCCAGCGATTGACGATAGAAAATTGGAAATTAGAGAGCCCGTTCCAAGTGCGAAAGTTTGCGGCCGACGAACTTTGCGAGCAGCGGAATCTCAAGGGCACCGTTGCATTGGCCGCCATTCGCGAATTGTGGAAGACCCCCAACGAACAAGGAAAAAGAGGATCCAACGAGGCCTGTAGTTCTTGTGACGAACGGCGGCAGGCACAGCTGCCGGTGGTGAAGGACTACATCAAACGGCGAGGACTTAAGGGACCTGCCGTTCTTGGATCGAGCGCCAAGTCCAAAGCGGCGCCGGCTGTGAGCCTGACACCTGGGCCGAAAGTGAAGGCCAAATCAAAGGCCGGACCAAAAGGAAAGGCCAAACCATCCGCCGCGCCAAAAGTAGCGGCTGAAGCGAAGGCCACAACTGTGGGTCGTCGCCCGGAGGAACTCACGCGGACTACTGTTGAAGTCCGCGGAGTGCCAAAACCCTCCGATCCTTGACCGGGCGAACCGCCCGCGACTGCCGCTGGAAAAGGAGTGAGCGGCAGCAGCAGCAGGGGTTGAGGGCAGGAAACCATGGAACAACAGATCCAACAATTGAGTGACATGGTACTTCAACTCCAACAGAACCAAGCGAGGTTGGAGCAAGAGAATCAAGTGTTGAGGGAGTCTCAAGGTGGGGTATCAATGCTAGCTTCAGCTGTAGGAGAATTGGCTAAAAGCCTTGAGAGGAAAGATGATAGGAAGAAGTCCCAAATCCTCATGGACACCAAAGGGTTAGGACGCCCCGAAAGTTTTGGAAATGTTGAAGGGGATTTTCGAAAATGGGCCAGGAGCATTGATAACCTGTTCATAACTACTTTTGGGAGAGAGTTCATTGAAGTCCTGGAGTATATTTTGGAGCAGGAAGACGCGATTGAAATGAGTGCTATGGAGTCCGCGTTTGGGACTGGAACCATAGCAGCCATCGATGATTTGGAGGATAAAGCTGATCAAATTCATCGCGTGCTCCTGACCCTGACCTCGGGTGAAACAGAGGATTTGATGGTAGGAGCTTCAAATGGGTTTGAAGCATATCGGCGAGTTCACCGCCGTTGGGATCCCCGAACCTCGGGACGGAAACGCAATATACTTCGAGCGATTCTCCAACCGGAGAGAGTCAAGACATGGGCCGCGGTGAGGCCAGCGATCGAACAGCTCGAAGAGCTCATCAGGCGGTACGAGTCTCGGAGGAGCGCCGCAGGGATTAGGGAAACCCTATCGGACGATATCAAGTCCGCTTCATTGGAGATGCTGGTACCCCCAGATTTGGAGAAACATCTTTTGTTGAACAAGAGTAGATTGACAACCTATTCGTTGATCAAACAGGAGATCGAACTTGTCATTGAAACATCCCTCACATCAAAGTCATCTGTTCCAAAACCAGGTTCATCAAGTTCGAGTTATCAAGGACCTCAACCCATGGACGTCGATTCGATAGGACAATGGATTGCAAGCCTAGTTAAAGGAAAAGGTAAAGGAAAAGGTAAACAGGCCAAAGGTGATGGAAAGAAAGGCTCAAGCAAAGGGGGTTCAAGTAAAGGCTCAAACCCGGCTCAAGATATTACCTGCTACAATTGCGGTAAGAAAGGACACCGAGCGGCCGATTGCTGGAGCAAGAAACGGCCGGATGGAAAAGGCGATAAGTGGTCAGGTTCAGGCAAAGGAGATAAGAGTGGTAAAGGTGGCAAAGGCAACAAAGGCAAAGGTGGAAAAGGCGGCAAAGGCAAAGCCGCAGGAAGTATGGAAGAGATGGACGAACCGGATGAAGGCATTGAGCCAGCTCCGGAAGCCGATGTCGGCATGCTCATGGCAGACTTGAGTGGAATTGGAATGGCAGATACCTCATCCGCCGAAGAATGGATGAAGTTTAACCTGGACACTGGAGCAGCCCAGACAGCCATCCCGAATGGCTGGGAGGATCGAGTGGTTGTCAGTGAAGGCAACGGAGTTGTGTTCAAGACTGCATCAGGAGAGTTGGTGCCCAGTCAGGGCATTGGAACCTTTGAAGGGTTCGACGAGAGCGGCAACAAATGCCGTGTGAAAGGTTCAATGGCTGATGTTCATAAGCCATTGATTTCAGCATCCAAGTGCTTAGGCTTTGGAAGGATTGCAGTTCTTGATGCAAAAGGCGGAAACTTGATTCCGCAAGGGTCCAAAGTTGGACAGGCTGTCCAGGCGATCCTGGAGAAAGCGAACGCTGCAGAGCAGCGGAGCTGGATCCCTGTATATCAGGAGCAGGGAGTTTACAACTTCTACTTGAGGAAGCCAGGGTATAAACCGACAAAGGAATGCTGTGGCATCGCAGAGTTGAACGCCACAGGAGAGAGAGGAGATGCCTCTATGGATTCAGGCCGACCTGGTCCAGAGGGGCGAGAAGAGGATGATGAGTTGGAATTAGTTGATGAGGTTGAGAAACCCATCCAGATAAGAGCACCGGAGGACCCAACTCCGGCTGAGATCGAAGAGCACGAGGCGACAGGCCATGTGCAATATCGAAGTTGGTGCCGGCATTGCATTGCTGGACGGGCTGTGGGACAGCCACATCGGACGAGGTCCGAGGAAGAGAAGGCCAAGAGCCTTGCGCCCACAGTGGCAATGGACTACACGTTCATGTCACGGGGCGGTGTGGAGGACGAGCGAGTGAAGCCGATCCTCGTAGTGAAGGATGAGAGGACACAGTCCTTAGCGGCGACCTTCGTGGACTCGAAGGGAGCGACGCCGTATGCAGTGAAGTTCGTGGCGAACTTCCTGAAGAACTTGGGACACCGCAAGGTGGTTCTCAAGTCAGATGGTGAGCCATCAGTGGTAGCCTTGAAAGAGGCAGCGGCGAAAGAAACCGGCATAGACTGGGTTTCGGAAGAGTCGCCAGTAGGAGACCATCAAGCAAATGGTCTGGCAGAGAACGCCTGCAAGGAGGTCAAACGTCAAGTACGAGTCCTCCGCAGTGCGTTGGAAGAGCAGCTCGGCAAAGAGCTCAAAGATGATGATCCTGCATTGGCATGGCTGCCAAGACAGGCAGGAGACCTGTTGAGCAGGTACAAGAAAGGTCAAGATGGCAGAACGCCTGAGGCCAGGAGATGTGGAAAGCAATGGCGAAAACCTGCCATAGCTTTTGGTGAACGCCTATACTTTAGAGAAGTAGGCGAGGGAGTTCGCATCCTGAAAGAAGGACGCTATGTAGGGCACCATGGCCGAACAGGATCCATTTTGGTGATGACGGCCGATGGCGTGCGAAGAGGCACAGGAATCCGGCGGCTGAGTTCAGCCGACCGCTGGGACCCAAGTGATTGGGACCTTTTGCGGGGCTTACCGTGGGAACATTCCGCGGCAAGGCCTGCCGGTGAGCAGTTGATGCTCGAAGAGCGCCTTGTGGTACCACCTCCCAAGGAGGAACGAGTGGCACCACCGCAGCAGAGGCGAGTGTACATCAGGAGAGAGGATGTGCACAAGCATGGAGCCACAGAAGGCTGCCCAGGATGCAAGTGCATCTTGGAAGACAGGAGGACGACCTTGCCGCACACAGAGGCGTGCAGAGCAAGGATCACCGAAGCAATGGAAAAGGATGAAGCTGGGCAAGCGAGACTTGAAGCCCATGCAAAGAAGAGGAAAGAACGGCAACAGCTTGACACTGTGAAGCCGAAAGTCGTGGCCGACAAAGACTCCGACATCCCAGCCGAAGACGCGGCTGGGGAACCAGAAAAGAAGGAAGAAGCAACGAGCGCAGGGTCGGGAAGCTCACCGCCAGCAGCAGCAGAGGGTGAGAAAACCTATCCCGATGACCCGAAAGAGAGATATGAGATGAAGAGGCAAGCAGCCGAAATAGAGAAGAAGCCAGTGGCGAAAGCCAAGGTAGCAACAGAGCCCAAGAAGAGAACAGGAGAACTTCGGATAGATCCACCTGGGGCAAAGGTCAAGCCGAATCCAGTTCAAGGAACAAAGAGGTCCGCAGAGACCGCCGTAGAAGACCTTGATCCCAGAGTGGAAGAGAGTCCAAAGAAAACGTCTCAGTTTTCACATGTTCCAGAAACACCACCAGCAGGGTGGAGGCCAGATGCAGCCAGCTTAGTAAAAGAGAAGGAGATCGCAAAGCAGCATCTGAAGAAGATCATTCAAGGAACCTATGAGGCGAGCGGCATTGAGATCTCTGAGCAAGAGATCGGAGACATCGCTCATTTGAGCATGCAGATGTCAGCAGTAGATATCATGGAGATCTACTCGCCCAAGAGGTTCACTGCGCTTGCAGAGCGCTACAAGTTGCGACCGGGTTTTGCGGTCGACTTGAATGAAATGAAAAGTGATGGAACATACTGGGACTTGAACAAGCCTGAAGATGTTCAAGAAGTGCATGACATCCTTGAAAAGGACGAACCGGCGCTTTTGACTGGTTCGCCACCGTGCCATATGTTCTCGCAGCTCCAGAACCTCAACTGGAGAAGCATGGCACCGGATGTCCGGAGGAGGAAAATGGACGAAGCCGTCCACCATCTTCATACGAGCGTAGAGCTGTATGTCAAGCAGCATCGCTCAGGGAGAAAATTCCTCCACGAGGCACCTTGGTCCGCGACCAGTTGGAAGGATGAGAAAGTCGCGGCCTTAGCAGAGGAAGATGGAGTGTTCATAGTGAAGGGTCCAATGTGCAGGTGGCAAATGATGGCCACCGACCGAAGAGGACTCCAAGGCACTGGCTATGTGAGAAAGGAGACCGGTTGGATGACCAATGACGAAGGGTTAGCCAGAGTCTTGCAAGGAGTCTGCTCGAACGAGTCGGGCAAAGGACCATGGCACCGACACGTCCATCTGATCGGAGGCATTGCAAGGCAAGCAGCGGTATACCCACCGCCGCTCGTGAAGGCAGTGCTGAGGAGCCTGCGTGACACACTAGCTGAGAAAGGTGAGTTGAACACCTTTGATTTGTTTGCAGCCGGCCCAGTTCCAGAGATGCCTCTGATGGACCCTGAGTTCGAAGAAGTTTATATGGATGATGTGAACGGCGGCATTTTGCCAGCCGAGAAAGTGAAAGAGGCAAGACGCCTTGAAATGAATTATTTGAAAGAAAAGCATGGTGTTTATGTGACCCGGCCGAGAGCCGAATGTTTTGAGGAAACAGGGAAACCCCCGATTCCAGTCAGATGGTTGGACACCAACAAGGGAGATCCAACAAACCCGAACTATAGGAGCCGATTAGTTGTGCGTGAGATAAAGGCAAGAAAGACCAAAGAAGAACAATTGCCAGCCAACTTGCTTTTCAGCAGCACGCCACCATTGGAGGCGATGAGACTGCTGTGCTCGTTGTGGGCAACAAAGAGAAAGTCCTGCCACAACCAGCCGCTGAAGCTGGGCTTGTGGGACATCTCACGAGCACACTTTTATGGAACTCCAAAGAGAAAGATCTACATAGAGCTGCCGCCTGAGGACGAAGCCAGCAAAGATGGACAAACCTGTGGACTTCTCGTGAAGTCGATGTATGGAACACAGGATGCTCCAAATATCTGGCAGACGCACTACACAGAGACTCTGCAGAAAGCTGGTTTCCGCAGAGGCTTGTCAAATGCGTCAGTCTTCTACCAAGAAGCTTGGGACGTCAGAGTGATGGTGCATGGAGATGACTTCCTAGCACTTGGGGACGCCCAACACTTGGAGAAGCTCAGCCAAGTCCTCAAAGATGCCTATGAGCTGAAATGTCTCGGAATTCTTGGAGACGAGGATGGAGACCGAACAGAAGCTCATTTTCTGAATCGGTTAATCCGAGTCGAAAAGAAGAACGGCAAAGGATCAATTGTGATCGAAGCCGATCGGAGACATGTTGATCTTTTGATCCAGGCATTTGGTCTGGAGAAGGCAAATGGTGTAGAATCACCAGATGTCAAGAAGTCGGCAGATCAGCAGATGCTGGAAAGCCGCAGTCCGCTGCTTGATAAGAGCGAGGCATCGAAGTATCGTTCAGCAACGATGCGTGCTGCGTACTTGTCCCAAGATCGACTTGATATTGGGCACGCAGTCAAGAACCTTGCTCGAGGTATGGTATCACCAACAGAAGCCAAACTTGCTGGCTTGAAGCGTCTCATCAGGTACTTGAAGAAATACCCTGATGTTGGGCAATGTTTTGGTTCGCAGCAGACACCCTCAAGGCTGAGGGTGCAGGTCGATGCCGACCATGGTGGTGACGCTGTGACACGCAAAAGCACGACTGGCATGGTTGCTATGTACGGCATGCATGTGTTGAAACACAGTAGTAACATCCAATCCACTGTAGCCCTTTCTACAGGTGAAAGTGAGTACTATGCACTTGTGAAGGGAGGATCTGTGGGCTTAGGCCTCCAAAGCCTATGCGCAGACCTTGGTTTGGATTTGGGAGTCACCATCGAGGGCGATTCCAATGCAGCCAAAGGAACTGTGAATAGAGTGGGTTTGGGTAAAGCCAGACACATCCAAACTCGCTACCTATGGTTGCAAGAAAGGGTTGCCGAAGGCCACTTGAAGGTGCACCACGTTCCAGGAGTCAAGAACAAAGCCGATGTTTTGACCAAGTCGGTTCCTGGGGTGCAGCTTCGCAAAACCATGGAGGACCTGCAATATGCATTCCTCAGCAAGCGAAGCAAAGGACAGTTAGATGTTTTGGAGTAAGGTCCCTGGCCAAGCTCCACTACCACAACTGAAAGTGGCTAAGCAGCGAGAGTTTCACATGTTTACTTTTATGCTTGCGCAGCAGTACAGTGCTTTGCAAGAGGAGGAGTGTTTGTATGTACAGCCCATATATACTCCGCTATAGGTACTGCAGACACGTGACTCTTGACGTATTTTGGCTCAAGGGAAAAAGGCGTTCCGTAACGTCGAAACCTCGTTTTCACACCCGTTCCATGTTTGCCTTCGAGGTTTTGCAAGGGCTTGTTCACTCTTGAACCCCTGTTCGCCCGACTCCACGTTTCTCCAGGCCATTGAGAAGCTGGATACCCAGCTCCAGGACGACTACAAGGCGGTCAAAGAGGCGGGAGGAGACCTCCGTTCGCCCCCGCCCGGATCGGCGAACCGCGGCGAACCGCGGCGAGAGTGGAAAACACCGGCTAACCGCGGATGGTGGATGCGAGGTGTTGCAGGTGTGGCAGAGAGATGCAGAGAGGGTGTTAGATTTTTTTTATTATGCAGATGATGAGGTGGAGATAGGTGTTGAACCATGAGATTGGCGCGAGCCTGTTTCTTTAAACTGCAGAGACTCTCGGATTGATCATGAAACACAGATCCCTTTGAGTAATAGACAATACTTCTATCTTACCAGGACCATCCGACCATTTGGGTGTCCTGGCTGGACTGCCCCTCACTACGATCTACACCCAGCTACCTGGGCAGTTAGCCGGTAGACTTCACCCCAGGCCACGGGCAGTATCCAGAAGACGCGGAGCGGACTGACCGATGCTGCTTGGTTGGAGAGGGAGAGCGAGGAGGTGATTGGGAGGAACATTGAGTTTCTGGGTGGGATGGGAGAATTTTGTAGAGGACACAGAAGGAACATTAAGGAACCAAACCACCTACAAGAACAAATCATTACAGAGCTTCGATGGCACTGGCACCTGCATAGATGTCTCTCAGACAGATGGGGGTCCGGGGAAAAAAATGAAAAAAGTTGATTGAGTGAAGTTTTCTAAACTAATATCATAGCAGTATAACAAATCAAAGTTTATTCAAAAACAACATAACAGTCCAAAAAAGTCAGTTTAAATATTCTTGATTGCTTCATTTTTCTTAACAATATCAAAACATGATTACCTCATTCAATTTTTCAATATAGCAGTCAAAGCATACTTACCTCATTCATTTTTTCAAAATCATAGCAGTCAAAGCACAATTACCTCATTCAATTTTTCAAAATCATAGCAGTCAAAGCATACTTACCTCATTAATTTTTCAACATCATAGCAGTCAAGAGCATTATTACCTTATTCATTTTACAAAATCCTATCCATCAACCGTTCCTAAATTCCTTTTATGCTTATTTGTTTTAAATGTCTTGAATAACATTGTGCCTTCATTGATGAATTACATACATTACAAAAGGCAACTTTATCACGATAGTTTTGTATTTGTTCCTGTTTCTTTTTTCTATATTCTTCATGTTCTTTATACTTAGTTCTTCGTGTTTCATTCACTTTCTTTTTATGTTTGTCATAGTTCTTTCTCTTGTATTCCAAGCATGTCTTACAAGTCTTCAATCCATCTTCAAAATTATCAATTGGTAAATCTTTAACACAGTATCTACAAAATGTATCCAATACATATAAATATCATTATCTTCTTAAATGTATTTTCCAAGAATTCCTATAAAAACCACAAAAAAACACACCAAGCAAAGAACACTATATAAGACAAAACGGCAGACAACAATAAAGATAAACCCTTAACCTTTAATAATCCGATCTTACAAATCCATAATTCTAATAGACAAATATTATTAGAAATATGTTAGTAGTAAATATATTCAATAATTATTAATCTAAAATGAACTGCTTGTATTCCTATTATACTATCTTTATCTTTGTCTTCTTCTACGTTGGTATTTATTTATTCATCTGCTTTATTCAATACATCGTCTATATTATCTTCATCTACATATTCATCAAAGTCATTCATGAAGTAAACTTCTCTATAACTAAATTCATTGTCTCCATATTCTTTATCTGGGAGTTTTGCTACTATATGGACTTCAATATCAAGTTTAACTCTAAAATTTAAACTATATTCTTCTACTTCTTCATAAATCAAAGATAGTAATTCTTATTTTTCTTCTGTTATGATGTTTCCTATACTTTTCAAACTAAATGGCACTCCCTGCACTCCCTCTCTCATAATACAATACTCAAATTATATATACTGTTTGTTTCTTTGTCTTATCTTTCTGTCTATTTTCGGACCAAGTCTTGATATTTTATATTTGTTTTGTATTCTCTTCAATGCTTCACTATGCTCTATTTTCACATATTCAGGTTCTCCAATTTTATAAGAAACAATTGTACTCAACACATCAACAGGTAAATCCTTTATACAATCCATCCTACTAGTATACTTAAATAACTATTCTTTAAGTATATATTCAAAGAATAACATAATAGAGTTCTTTAAACTCTAAAGATAAATTAACTAAATAAAATATTTACTATTATATCTATTGAATACTAATAAAGCAGAAATACCCAAAAACTCAATGCCCTAGCTACAACAGAAATACCGACCCTAAAGACTACTGGGGGGCCCTGGCACGTGCCTAAAAAAGCGCGACTGAAGATCTACACACCAGAACCGTCCCAGTGAAGGTCACGATCTCGGCCGTACGAAGAGGTCACTGACCAATCCGGAAGAGGTGTTGTCACTCACTCAAAAAAAAGGTCCTGGCACCAAGATCTACATTTCGGTCCTTGATGTCTTCCGTGTCCGTAGCTCACGGGTTCAGCAGGCCCCCCGCACCAAAGACGGCCATTTGGAACATGCCCGGAAAACGACTGAAGGCATTCGGTGGAAGATGGGTTGGAAGGCTTTCATGGAAGGTTTTGCAACGAAACAAATACTGTATTGTTAGAATCATAGCCTTGAGTAGGTTCCCCGGACCGTTTTATATTTATAAATGGTCTGCAAGGCCCCCCCACCCTATATTCTCATAGCTATATATATAAATATAGATTAGTATATTGTATTATTCATTTGGACCTTATGAACCCTCTTCCATCAATCTTTCGATTCATGATGGGTTGTGCCTTTGAAAGATGGTGCACAAATCTCACACATGTCGTAGGTCGTATAGTATATATATAATACTGTATATGGTCGTATTACGCACACGGTACTTGACCTCGCTGGACAATTGAATGAGATCCACCCACCACACTGTAGGTGCACCATATGATATGCCCTTGGATGATCCTTTTCCTCTACAAACAAAGGTTTTCACTGCCATGATGAATTCAAGGAGTGCATGCACCACAAGCCACCGCGGAGCTTTTTTGAGACTTGTTGCTGGAGTACCTCAAAATCGTCGGTTGTGTCAAGACTCCTTCGGCTCATTGTTTGCATCCGGGCTCATCCTGGAAGTCAATGGAAGTCATATACGGTTGCCATGATGGTGTGCCATGATGGTACGGCATCCACTGCCACATGCTTTCGCTTTCGACTTCAGATCAGGGCACGTCGCTTTCCATGACACCGTAAAACAAAAAACAACACCGTGACACTGTAACAGTGTCGCTTCGACATTCTCAGGGTTTGCATGCGCTGGACAAGAGCACGGAGCACCTACAAGTCTCTTGGCCTGAACAAAAGGCACCTTCGATGAGCTGGGGATACCACTGGTGCCAGCTGGAGTCTGCTAGAGTTGGAGGAAAACAGCCTAAAAGGGGTGCTATTCGACTCGGGTCCATGCGAGTTTTCCAGAGTGTATGTTTCTTTTGTTTTGTGACTTGGCTATGCTCAACTCGTGACTGTTGGAGACACCTGGGACCTGTTTTTTCCACACGACGCGTCATGGGAATGATGCAAACATGCGGAGTGTTTGCAGCTCATTCCGGGCCATGTGAGGCCATGTGTGGGGCAGCTCATTTCGATTCTGAAGAGAAAAGCGTCGTGGTTGTTATTTGCTCCCTTTTCAGGGCTGCTGCATGGTGCATATCGCGGGGTAGGTCGCAAGACCGTCTTCGTAGTCTACACACGGTCAGAACCGACGGGGAGCTTCCCTTGCTCGACCTTGGTCGGGCGCCCTGGCTCGAATATGAAAGCTGCAAAGACACGCAGGTTCTTCACCACACATCGATGAACAATTCACAAATCGAATGCTCGAAGATACCAGCCCGGCTGTGCCCATGGGCACCGCAACAGTCGGATTGCACCGGCCAGGCGCGGTGTTCGGCGCACCGGCGCACCGGCACGGTCGGCAGCACTGGTAGCGGTGGAACCGGACCGGACTTGGTCGCCAGCAAAAGGAAGACGTATCATTTCGGACAGTTGGTTTAGTTCATTTTTTTAAATCAACTTCTCCACTTTTCTCAACCTTTCCGGTCACTTGATCTCCCACTGCGATCCTTCACCGCCTCGTCCAGGTGCCGCCAGGCGGCACCGCCCCAAAACAGGCGGCAGCGGCGCCGTGTGGTGGGCAGCCGAAGCATAGTGGTGGCTCGGGGTGGTGCAGAGGACCTTGTTGCACAGACAGATCAGATGGATACCTGAGATCTTCCAACTGTGCAACATGTCTGCTGATTCATGGCTAAAGCCAGCCCAAAAGGCAGACATTTTGCATAGTTGGAAGATCTTAGGTATGATTACGTGTGCATCTCAGAGGAGCTATTCTCGTGGACCTGCATCCACAGCCAACTGTTTTTAGTGCCAAGCCGACATGCACAAAATCCAGAGAAAGACGCGGCTCGATCCAACCATCTATGAAATCATAAGTAATTACCTGTAGTTATGTAGTTCCGAAGGGGGTGCCGCACTTGGATCCTGCAGAAAAACATCTCCACTTCCCAAAAGCCACCGCACCGCACCTCACAGAGTGGGCGGTCAACTACCACGTCCAAAACGTCCGTGGAGGCCGCAGACCCATCGGACGGTCGGTTCAGACATGGTGACCACGAGCAACCCGGTTTTGAGGAATTGGGCCATGGGTTTTGAAATGCCATCAAAATGCCTTCATGAATTTATGAATTAGCTCACATAACAATCATGAACATGTTTGTTCAAAGAGCCATTAATACAACTTCTTTTTCAAAGAGGACTCCGAAGAGCCACATGGCATGTATTCAGTGGTGTACCGACATGCACAGTGGTGTACTGAGCTTGCGGCTTCCTCTTTTTGGGCTTCAGTTGACAGGTGTAGATCTTTTTTTTTTCGTCCGCCAGTGGTCTGCGGAACCGGAACAGACGCGCCATGGGACGAAGGGCGCTGTTGAGGGCTCTTCTGGTCTTTTGCGGCGTCTCCTTTGGAGGGGCCTTTGAAAGCTTGGAGTCCAAGAAAGAGAAGGACCGAGTACAACAAAAGGCCGACAGGGTCGCCGAAGATGGTCGCATGTGGTCGAACACACAAGAAATTGAACATCTTCGAACGTTTTGGAGACAAAAGTGTCCTCTTAGGGACATCAACAGCACAGACCATCACGCCTTTTCCTTGACAAGCAAACAGCAAACCATGCGTCAAAACATTGAAGGATATTGTATTGAAGGCAAGCAGTATCTGCTCATTTTTTGTTTCCGTTTGTTGGTTGATAGACCCCCCTGACGTCATATATAGAATTTTTCCATGCAATCACCACCCAAACCGGGCGCTGGGACATCCTTGACATCATCTTGGCACCTGGGGCTCTCTTTTTGCTGCAACCCGCCTGTCTTTGAACCACGGATCCCGGTCGCTTCTCGGGATCAGGGCCCGTGGAATTCGGTCCAAAGCACAGACGGTGCGCATCGAAGAGCTCAAACATCCGGTGCGGTTTTGGGCCACTGGAGTTTGTGGCCAGGGCCATCCGGCAGGGTCAATAGGCCCCAGCAAGACCGCGAAAGGAACAGTTTATCTTTCTTGGCACAAGTCCTTTCCTTTCTTTCCAGCTGGTTGATTTCTTTGAGAAGATCGGTCTCGCAGGACCTGCACGAATCTCGGATCATCCTCCGCTATGCGACGTCCACTCCGCAAGCGGAATCTCTTCAATCTCGTGGCTTGGCCGGTCGAAACGGGTAGATTCTTGTTATATTCTCGTTGTTCTCGATCTCATTGGTATATTACATTAGATCTACTGTATACATATATACGTAACGCTGTATACTAAGATACTATACTCCATTTTGCCTGAGATCCAACATATGGCCTGGATTCAGTTTGTATGAGATCCATACTCCATGGTCGGTTGGTTGTTTTGAGGTTCGTGGGTCGTCTTGCGGTTCCAGGATCCTTCCAAATGCAAAAAGAGGTCAGGTGTCCGCTGAGTAGGTGGCCAAAGCCTTTTAACACGACTTTAAACAAGACCAAGCAACCCTACCTTTGGTTCAGGTGTCGAAATTCCACTTTCCAGTTGTTCAAGTGAGCCCCTGTTTGACTTGACTTAGACTTAGTCTGACAAGGTTCTGAGGAGTCTGGGATCATCTTGAAATGTCAAAAAGACGGATCGTGCAATTTGAAGGCTTTGCAATTTCAGGATGAACATGGTCGACCAAGGTGTCAAACATCTTGAAAATCTTCGAGGAGTGAGTAAGGCTGAAGCTCTACCAAGCCTGGACATGGCCGTGGTGGTTTGCAAGTCGCCCGAAGATGAGGATGAGGTGCTTGAGGCACTGCAGTCGGAAGATGGAGTTGAACTAGCAGTACCTGACACTTGGGTAGAGCTGGACCAAAGCAAGATGTGCTCATCCCATCCGAAGTGTAAAGCCTTGGGATTGACACATGCTTGCTGCCCCGCGAGTGATGGAGCCTGGCTGGAATGTTGCGACCCACCAGAGGATAAGCACACCGAAGAGCATGGCTTCAGTACCATTTCCCTTCAAAGTTGGCATGGCGGCTACATTTCCGCCTTCCGATGGGGCTCTGTCGGCCACTCCCCTGATCTGTGGCGCGGGGAGACACGCTTCTACGTGGTGCCGCATTCGGATGGTTACGTCTCCCTGAAGACTCAGCATGGAGCTTACCTGGTCGCCAGCCCCCCGGGCCGCCTCGAAAGTTGGCATCGGGGGCGACAGGAGGCCGACGACTTCGAGAAGTTCAAGCTGATCTACAACAAGGACCCCATCTGACATGGCTAGAGTCTATAGTGAATACATGGGTTGACCGGTTGAGGGTGCGCATGATATGGGTTGAGCCATAGGGTGTGTGTTCCACTCAAGTGTCAAGCTGGACAACCATTAAAACCTTAAAGGACTTAAGACTCTGACTTGATTCCTCCGCAATCATTCCACTTCCATGCTTAGTTAGGGGGGATAGAGGCCATGACGAAGACCTTGCCGTGACGAAGACCTTGGCATTACCTCCGAAGTCAGATCTAGGGCCCTACTGCCCACCTCAGGAAGCTTTCTCGAATCATGGGTAGACACGACATGACACTGAAGCCATCTGGAACCGCGCGGAGCCACTAAAAAAGTTTTCTAGCACCCCTCAAGAAAGGAGGAGGGAATTCCTTTAGTGCAATGGACTTTAGATGACTTGAAAGGAATGATTCTCATTTGTTTTGTGCAGACATCTGCAGACCGCCTTTCTAATTTCATACCATTTCTCTCCAAAAACACCCCAGCCACGGTCTTGTTATCGTCACGAACCGGATGGGACGTGTCTCCTTGCGTCCTGATCTCCAGGATGGCAGCGTCTCCTTGCGCAGCAAGCCTCTCGACTTGCCGAGCACCGGGTCGCGAGTCGTTGGTCGGTGGGTTTGCGTCGAGTGTTGCGGAAGGATCATCTGTTTACCCGGTTGGTGTCCGACAGGAAAGCGTTGGTTGGATGCTCCTTCCTTCAGATAGGATGTGGAATCTGAAGTTGCACCAGAATCCGACTGACATTGCTTTTTCCACACCACGTTTGTGTGCTTTTTGGTTTCCAAGAGAAAAGGACCCCGTCACTATTTCTGGACTTCCAAACTCCGATGTCCTCCAAAAGCGCCCACCCCGCTAGCCTGTGGGTACCCCGCCGACCTTTCTGTGCCGAGGTCTTCTGACAAGTATGTGGCTGCCGAGATGCCTGATTGGGGAGTGCTCTCAGCCGATCGGGATGAGATTGATGACTGGGAGAAGTTCAACGTCACTGTCAACCATGGCTGGGACACTGCAACTGGGGCGGAAAAAGATACCAGCACAGACTTAGGTGGTCGTATGCCAAACGATGTGTAAAGTTGCTTTTTGATGCTTTTTGGTTGTTTGACATTCCTTGAGCTCTTTGCCTTGTTAACCTTCATTTCAGAACATGTTCAGAACATATAATACTCTTCCCACATCGACCGCCTCACATCGCCGTCCGCTTCGACGTCTTCGTCACCGTTCGACGGTCGACGAAGCACTGACGAGGTGATTCCCAACGATGAGAAGTTTGAGAAGCTTTGGGGTCTGAACCACTATGGTGGTCGCGACATCGACGCCCCGGAAGCGTGGAGGTTTTTCCCGGCACCTCCCAGCAATAGCATCGTCGTGGCGGTGATCGATACAGGGATCGATTACACCCATGCTGATCTGAAAGATCGGATGTGGGTGAATCCAAATGAGATTCCGGATAATGGGATCGATGATGATGGCAATGGCATCATCGATGATGCTCGGGCCTTTGGTTGTTTTGGGATGCGGGATGCTTTTTGGTTGTGTGTGTTTTGTTGGCATCCGCTCTTTTGGGATGCTTGGGGGACTCCTCCGTTTGGTTAGGCATATTTACCACCCGCTCCAACATGGACCGTCACCAATGAGCCCCCCTCTGAGCCCGACTAGTCTCATCTACCCAGATCCACCCCCGTGGTTTTCAGCGTCTCTTTTTTCGGAGTCCAACATAGTGGTCCACGTAGTGGTCCTATTGGCAGGAACCACCCCACCACCCGACCACGACGGCGAGAACGATGTGTCCCTCTCGCTGCGGTGGGTCCCACGGTCCCTGTCTCCGTCCCAGGACGTCTACGGCGCAGACTTCGCGAACGGCGATGGCGATCCCTTCGACGATCAGATGCACGGTACTCACTGCGCCGGCACCATCGCAGGCGGACGTTCGTTGGACGAAATGGTCGGTGGTTGGTGGTCCCTCGTGTTGCCCCGGCTTGTGGGTCTGGGTGGTGAGTAGAAAGCCGTAGGTAGGCGTCGCTCATGTCATGAGTACATGGTAAGTACATAGAATTTGTAGAATTACCAATTAGAAGTGAACCGACATGTGCTGTTGACGCAGTCTCACCACCTAAAATGGGGTGGGTTTAGAAGACATATTTTCCTTCGTAGCTGTGGGAAGTGCAAGATCAGTATTGAATGCACACCAAGCGGATGGTGCATGATACTCTTGGTGGCGTTTAGATGATAATCTACTAGGCTACACACTTCGATCAAGATGTATCTATTAGATGTATAAGGGCGTTTCCTCCCATCAGCACCCCGAAAAAGCACCTCGCCAGCACCACAAAGGCCCCCCCCCTCACAG